TGAGAGCGAATCATTTATCAGCTGCCTCCTGTACCCCCCCTCCTGGGGATCGAGGCCCCCCCCCCAGCATGTGCCCTTGATTGAAATTGAACCTGGGACCCTTCAGTCCGTAGGCCAACACTTTATCTACTGAGCCAAACCAGCTAGGGCTAAAGCTGTACTCTTTCACGAACTCTCGGCCTCCATGCCTGGAGGGTGGGAAGAATCATTGTCCATTACAAGAAGTGCCCTGAGTGGCAATTGTTTTTCCCAGAGCTATTTCTTCACACTTGGGACAAGTACTTCACTAATCCACTCAATAAAAAATTGCCTGGTTACCCAAGCTTTGCTATTAGCTCTCCACATCACATTCAACTTGTTTTTCGTGACATTATTTTCTTGAAAATTCACAGGTTTTCAGACTGGTAGATGAGTAAAGGCTTCAATTTAAAGTCTCTACTCATAATCCCATACAACCATAACATCAGCCTATCGTTCATTGACTTGTGTCCTGGCAATGACTTCTGTGTAATGTAGGTTCTTGTTGGCATTTTCTTCTAGAAGAGACCTGTCTCATCACAATTGAACACTTGTTGGGGAACAAATCCCTTGGCCTGTACGTATTCTTGAAATTCTGTCATGAAATTATCAACAGCTACTTTGTTAGAACTGGCAGCCTCTCCATGCCTCACTACACTATGAATGCCATGTCTTTTCTAAAATTTATTGAACCACCCCCTTCTAGCCTTAAGTAAATCACTTTCAGTACTAGTTCCAGGGTTGTCTTTCAGGAGATCAGTATGCAGCATCTTCACTTTTTTACATATCATTGCCTCTGAAATGCTATCACTGGCTAACTGCTTTTCGTTTATCCAAATAAACAACAAATTTTTTACCTCTTCAATTGTCTGTGATTGTTGTTTTGTGAGCATTTTTACACCCTTAGCAACATCAGCACTCTTGGTGACCTCTTTATGCATTAAATTGTACTAACCGTCAATTTTGCCATTTCATACTTGGTAGCTAAATCAGACATGCGAACACCTCTATCATACTTTGGAATTATTTTTTAAAATATATTTTTATTGATTTCAGAGAGGAAGGGAGAGGGAGATGGAAACATCAATGATAAGAGAAAATCATTGATCGGCTGCCTCCTGCACACCCCACATTGGAGATTGAGCCCAAAATCCCAGGCATGTGCCCTGACCAGAAATCAAACCATGACCTCCTGGTTCATAGGTTAACACTCAACCACTGAGCCACGCCAGTTGGGCTGCAATTATTTCTTTTTTAAGCTCTATCGTTGTTCTCACAACTTTCCTTTTCACTTTGCTGCTATCATTAACCTTCTTAAGACCCCTGGTAACTTACTGTATGCATTTAATAATAACAAGCAGCAACAAAAGCAAAAAAAAAACATACAAAAATATTGACAGAAAAATTTCCTGAGATGTTAGCAACACTAACATCCTCTCCCAGAGAGGAAGAAGGGAGAGAGAGAGAGAGAGAGAGAGAGAGAGAGGGAAACATCAATGATGAGAGAGATTCATCATTGATCGGCTGCCTCCAGCATGCCCCCTACTGGGAATTGAGCCCACAACCCGGGCATGTGCCCTGACTGGGAATCAAACCGTGACCTCCTGGTTCATAGGTCAATACTCAACCACTAAGCCATGCCAGCCAGGCTCTCATCAATGTTTCTCTCTCTCTATCCCTCTCCCTTCCTCTCTCTCTAAAATCAGTAACAACATATTAATAAGAATAATAAAGTTCACCAGTAATAGGATATACTTCTGTTTTGGACACAATTGAGTATATAAACAAAGTTTGTACAATCACCTGGTATATTCGGTCAGGTCCAAAGGTTACACAACAATTCTGTAACTCCCTAAAGACTTTGGCAAAATGTTTCCCCCCTCAGTTTTAAATCATTATTTTGTCAGGAAAACTTAATTAGAAAAAAATGTTTCTTTTCTAATTGCAGGCCCATCCATTGAGCCAATAAAGAATTTGTTTGAAAACAATTCCCAGCTCCTAGAACTACTAAGAGAATACATTTTCCCCTCTAATTAGTATCTTAGAATTTTTTTAACCAATGCCAAATGCAATGTGAGCTCAAGTTTTTTAGTTCAGTTCTAAACTTAGAACTGTGATTTTCAAGTGGAGTCTAAATTTGGCAAAAATGTCTTCTCCCTGCCATAGTAGCTGGTGTTTTCCCATTCTTAACAGTTCCTACATCTTATTTTCTAAGCAAGCAGTACTATTTTTCTGCACTTTTTAATAAATTTTTCCATTTCCCCTTTATGGAATACCAAATGCAACGTTTTTTACACCATAAAATAAAATAGATATGACAGCTCTTAGAAAGATGAAGGGGGAAAATAATAAAGGGAAAAAGCCATTTAGCTTCATTCCTACAATGAAAAGATAAATACTGTATGCCTTAGATACTGAGTTACACAAAGTTTATATATAGGTTAGTAGAAATCACCAAGTCAGAATTCAGTTCAGATGCTTATTTTTTCTGCAAATTTCTATCTAAATTCACATGAGTCCTGGTCCCTTCCTGAGGAGAACATGTGAAAAGGTGTCTCACAGGTCACCACTTAAAGAACTGTGTCCAACAAAGCCATTTCCTGTGGTCCGATTTTATCCCCTTCCTTGAAGAAGAAAACATCAAAGCAAAGTGCTAAATGCAAAACTCAGGCCTCTGCGCAGCACAGGTGGTTAGTGTATAGAGGTTGTAGGTAGTTGGAAACAGCCACTTCCTCATTCTGCAGGGTGTTGAAGGGAAGGACACCAAGATCGCTCCCAGAAACAGGCACTCGCACGCCTCTCACTCACCTGCGTTGATCTTGCCTTTCAGGTCCAAGCTCAGATCACTCAGATCTCTCACTGTCATATTCCTTATACCCTTTTTTTCTCCCATTAGAACCATCTTTTCATTAAAATGAGCCAGGGGAAAGAAGGTAAGCATGAAGAAAAGGTGATATGGGGCTTTTTTCCCTCCTGGGACCAAGTTTTGGAATCTGATCCCTGTGCTGCACACCTCTGCAGCAGAATACTTGTCTGAGCAGCTTCCTTTTCTTCCCATGATTGTGTTGTTTAGGCATTTACATACGTCACCCCAGCCCAGAAGGACAGAGCTCAAGCTTGCTCCCTCACACAGCATTCCCCAGCACTTCCCTCCAGATCTTGGCAAATAGGCATCCTGTTTGCTCAGGTCTTTGGTCCTTGCCCTCCTCTGCTAGGAAGGAAGAACCATCAGGCTGCTGCTAGCAGGGGGAGGTCTCAACAACGAGAGAGCAGTCTTGATGGTCTTGTTCAACAGGTTCCCCTGCTTTATTTTCTCTTGCTTCTGCAGCGCCAAAAGGGGAGGACTAGAATACTTAAGATAGTTCCCTTTCCCAGTCTCCCTAGGTACCAAGCATTTTGATTACCGGACTCCCAGCAGAAGCAGCAGCAGAGCCTATACTCTGCCATCCAGACAGTATGAGTCACTCATTCGAGTTCAGGAACTAGGTGCTCTAAGTGAGAAACTCAAATCAATTTAGATCAGCAGATTATCCAGACAGTCTCCTGCCTCTGACTGTGGCACTAAGGATGATTTTGTGAGAAAACATTGTTCCTCTCTACCGTGTTGGCATCAAACTTTCAGGGTTATTCCACACAACCTTCTGCTTTCCTTAACAATACCTTATTCATCTGGCCTTGTATCTAACTTCTCTATTTGGAGCTTCAATCATCTGTCACAGTGTATTTATATTAAATAATCTAAAGGAAAGAACATTGGTTAGGCTAGGAGTTAGGAGTCATGGCTCTGCCATACGGTGATATATGACCCTGGGCAAGACACTTAAGGGCCTACTTCCTTCATCTAAAACTTTGGGGTGGGGAGAAGAGTTGGATAACTGTTTTAAAATCCCATAAATCTCCTTTAATAATAAATAGAAAATAGCATTTTAAATACTGTTGTAGAATAGTATTTTCCCCGCAGTTGTCCCTAAATTACTTTGGTCACACTTTAAGGAGCACTGCAATTTCTGGTCTTGTAGGTTCACCCTATCTGTGCTTTATATGACTGAATTAACTTTATACTCCCTCTTTTTCTTGAGCTTTACTGATTGCAGATCTACTGTCTTTTATTTTCTTTATAGTACATATACTTTTATTTAAATAGTCATTGCTCTTATTTTGTTATCCTTCTCCTTTATTACCCCTCTCAGGACCTTACCGCTGAAGAAAATAGCGTGTACTTAAGTCAGGGTTAGGGTGTTTTCTGTGTGCTTCCTCACCAACCCCCACAGTGTGGTGGCTTTGTGATGGCAGCAGCTCACTGAATTGCCTTTTGGGGCTGCCACACGTCTCCAAGATGCCTTTCCTGTGTTATAAGTAGGAGTTCAGAGTCCATTATCTTATGAATTCATTTGAAGTCTTTTCTCTCAAATCTTTGCCACATGAATACCTGTCTCCCACTTTTTGCATGTTCACACATCTTTGAGAGAATTTTTGGCTGTGTATCCCCCTTGCTGTTTATCACCTGGAACAAGAGTCATCTACAGAATTAAATATTACACTGTGTATTTCCACTTCCATGTCATTTTTGAAAATGTTGGAAAACAAAGACAGAACAGCTTTTATGCTCATCCTGATCGCTGGGAGAGGGTAGCAGTTGGTGTGGGATGGTGAGTGAGGAGCAAGGTGAAGATCCTCCTCGAAGAATGTGGAGACTCAGCATTTGGTTTTACTGTGAATTTCAGTAACAAGTTATACAGTAGTTGGTTCAAAGTCATGATTAGACTCATATCTCTTCATTACTTTCCCAATTTATCATACTTAGGCATTTACTCATGGACTGAGTAGCTCCTATAGGCCAGGCACTAGGCTAGATGTTGAGAAAAATGGTGACTAAGGCCACCCTGCCCTTGCGGGTTTGCAAACTAGAACGCTACAGACTCAGGCAGTTGCAGGCCTGAGTGAGAATGCCAAGAGAGGAGTGGGCTCAGAATGCCGTGGGAGCATTTAGAGGAGCGCCACCCGTGGCTGGGCTCAAACTGAAAGACAAGCAGGAGGTGGATAGGCGGAGGATTGTCCTGACGGAGGAAGCATATACGTTTCAGCACCTCCTGATGGTTAAAGATGTTGGGAGCTTGGAGCTTAGAGCTTGGAGCTTGGAGCATGGGGCTGGAGAAAAGCAGGGGCTGACGACGAATGGCCTAGGATGCTTTGCTAAGGAGTTTGAACATTCTCTCGAAGGCAATGGGAAGTCATAGAGGGATTTTTAAAGTAGGGGAATAGCATGATCATATTATTATATTTACTTTAGAAAAATCACTTGCAGTTTTTTAAAGCTAAGGCCAGGCGTATTAGGTTGTTAGAAAGCATTGGAGTAGACCAAGCAGGAGACAGTGGCTTCAACTAATATGGTGGCTTTTGAAATGGAGGGAAGTGTTAGAACAGAAATATCAATTAGAGGGGGAGAATCCTCAGAACTTGACGATTTGTTGATGTAGGGAGTTGGGGAAAGGGAGGAATCAATGATGAAACTCAGGTTTCTAGGCCAAGCAGCTGAGCTTGAGAGCACCATGAGAAGTTGTAATGATGAATGCAAAGGTAAATGAAGTCCTGTGTCTCAGGGCCATCATAAAGCAGTGCCAAGTTTCCAAGCCCTGGTGGACTCAGAATGATGAGGGACTATTCTAAGAATGAAGTGGGGCTCAGACAGTGTGGCTCAGTGGTTGAGCATTGACCTATGAACCAGGAGGTCACGGTTCGATTCCCAGTCAGGGCACATGCCTGGGTTTCAAGCTCAGTCCCCAGTGGGGGGTGTGCAGGAGGCAGCTGATTGGTGATTCTTTCTCATCATTGATGTTTCTATCTCTTTCTCCCTCTTCCTCTCTGAAATCAATTTAAATCCTAATATATAAAAAGCCAGGGGCCGTCACAACCGAAACAACCAGATGAACGACCGAACAGCAGGCTGTGTGGGATGACCAGGCCAGCAGGGGGGTTAGTGAGGGACGACCAAACGACTGAACAGCAGGCTGCGTTGGGCGACCAGTCCGCCAGGGAGGTTAGTGAAGGACGACCAAATGACAGAACAGCAGGCTGTGTGAGGCGACCAAGTCAGCAGGGGGGTTAATGAGGGACGACAAAACTACTGAACAGCAGGCTGCATGGGGCAATCAGGCCGGCGGGGGTGGGGGGGCAGTTGGGAATGATCAGTCCTATATAATAAAGAGCTAATATGCAAATTGACCATCATGCCCTCGCACATGATGGCTGCCCCCATGAGGTCAAAGATGGCCAGCAGGAAAGGGCAGTTGGGGGTGACTGAGCTGGCAGGGGGGACAGTTGGGGGTGACTGGGCTGGCAGGGGGGCAGTTAGGGGCAATCAGGCAGGCAGGCAGGTGAACAGTTAGGAGCCAGCGGTCCCGGATTGGAGAGGGAGCAGGCTGGGCTGAGGGGACCTGCCCCCACCCCGCCCCGCCCCCCGTGCATGAATTTTGTGCACCAGGCCTCTAGTATATATATAAAAAGAGTGAAGTGAGTTTTTTGTGCCTACTTGGCCCACTTGACTTTGGGTAAAAAGTGCTGGGGCGCTGCCCCTTGGCTCCATTCACTGACTGTCTTCCATTCCATTGTGGCTTCTCCTCAGTACTCGGTAAAGAACATCAGTTTTCTCCTTTCCCACATGGACCTTAGAAGAAGGCAGTGGTTGCACCATTTTTGCTACAGCTGTCATTTTGCTACCTTTGGAGGGCAGCTTTTTGTGTTTGCTGGATGTAATTTTGTTGTTGTTGTTAATCTTCTCCCAAGGATATTTTTCCATTGATTTTTAAAAAGTGTATTTTTATTGATTTCAAAGAGGGAGTGATAGGAACATCAATGATGAGAATCATTGATTGGCTGCCTCCTGCA